AGATTTAAATTCCAAAACTTATTTTTAAAAAATTGAAGTAATTTCTTTCCGATCAATAAATCATTGCTATGGTATCAGTTTATAATAAACCTTAACCTATTATTGACCCTCTCTTTCTGTCCTTGCATGAATCCGTGTGACTGCAATTATACGCAGCAAGTGCGTAACAAACCAGAAAATATTACCTGGATGAGCATAGGCTGCATAGCGCAAACAAGCTCTCCACCAAGGAGATTCTGAATAGGATGTGTAAGTTCCATCTCATACCTGCACTAGCAATTCCCAAAAACTTATGTTCCTTTGAATCTCAGAAATTCAGCTGAAAAATTCACGTACTAACATTTCACCGTACAGCAGTGCTCAAAATATCAAGCAAAAAATAAACAATTTAATTCTGGATTATTTTAATAGTATTTACATGAAAAACTGCTAAACATTTTACAAGCTGAATAAAGGTTCAAGGAGTATTTACAAGCTGAATAAACATTTTACACCTCATAGTTTTTAATCTACTAAGGCTTAATTAAATAAACAACAAATACAAATGATCTAATTAAATAAATAACAGATGCTAATTATCTAATTAGATAAACAACATATACTAACTATCTAACATTTGAAAGTCTAATAAATACACATGAAAATCTCAGTGGTTCAAGAGTCATCTTGAGTTTCATCCACTTCCATCATTGGACTCTCATATTGATTTTCTGGTTCAATAGATAGCTCTTCAATCTGTTTTCTTGTGGATTCAATATCGATGTTCTTATCCTCATCTTCCTTCAAAATGAAACTAACATCCTCGCTGTTCTCTTCTGCAATAATTTCTTCCCATTCCCACTCCTCATTGTTCTCTTCTGCAATAATTTCTTCCCATTCCCACTCATTATCCACAGGAGTGCTCATATTTTTCTTAACCTTTTCCATTGGTGGTTCAGCTGTGATGATCCAAGAGCCCACTAAATCCCTAAAAAAAGAAAAAAGAAAAATAGAATGTTAAACTAAAATATAAGATAGTAGGGTCAAATAGTTCAAACAAAGAAAAAAAACATTACTTTAATATGATTTCTTTGTTTGTAGGGATATGATCAAACTCTCGTGACTCCAACTTCTTCAGTAGTGGTGATATGTCTTCAGTTCTTCCAGCTGGTGAAGCAGACCTTTTCCTTTTGCGGTCAACAGTAGTAGAATTTCCTGCTGCTTCATGGGTTCCAGTCCTTTTCTCCTTTCCAACCTCTGCCATGAATTCTTCCTGTGACAGAGAAGATATAAGGAAATTACTAATTAGGGTTACCTGATTTCATTTCCAATCATAAAAATTCAATACAATACAATACAATACAGTAGGATAATAGAAGAAATGAAACCTCACATACCTGAATCTTCATCAAGATAAATATGAAAAGATGGACAAATGAAAAGGCTTCTTCGCCTTAACCTGAACAATTTTGATCTGAAAGAAAAAATTTCCATCTAACTGCTTGATATATATAGAAGTAATGCTTAGATCGCGAGACATCTCGAGCTCGATCGCTAGCTAAATAACACTCGCACGACACCATCCCACTCCCCCTCCGACTGAAGCAGTATTGACTGTCGAGGCGAACGCGAGTACTTTCCTACTCATATATATTTAATTAATTTAATGGTGCCAGTTTATAATCAGGAAAGAGGAGACTGTTTTTTAGTACGGACTGTGAAAAAATTTTGCAGTCCACACTCCGAAAACGATGTCGTTCTTTTTTTTAATCTGAAAAAAAAAAAAGAAAAAAACAGACCTCATTCCTCTTAAACCCCTTGTTTCGATCGAGAAAGTTAAAAAGAAAAGAAAGGAGAGTGAGGGAGAGAGAGCAATTTTTTGTGTTTGAATAAATCATTTTAATAGAGGAAGAGAGAGATAGCGGGAGACTGAGCCCTCCCTCCTCTGTTTTCAATCTTCTCTATTGGAAAGAATTGGAACGAAATACATTATTTAACTTATTTTTTTTATTTTTTTAATATATATATTTTATTTTAATTATTTATTTAATTAATAAATTTTAAAAATTTTATTTTTTTCATTTTATTTTTTATTAAATTATTTAATTAAATAAAAATATTATCATTTCCTCTCCTTAATTTTTATCATCTAAACAAAATTAATATCAACATTTTCCTTTCCTTCACTTCTCCTCCTTTTCCTTCCCCTCCCCTCCCCTCCCCTTCCTTTCCTTTACTAATTTTTATCCAAACTAAATATCGAGCGAACTCCATTAATGCATCTTTCCGAAAGCTTCTCATCAGCTCAATTCTCACTGTTCTTGTACAATGTGTTTTCTGGCCTGACAAAGGTTTTGAGCATTGGAAGCAACTCTGTACAGGCGGAGAGATAGTTTGCCTCGGATGGATTGAGAGCGATTTTGGGGGAGAGAATGAACGTTATCGGAAGACAGATGGCGAGATCTAGTGCCACGGCGCACCACCATCGGCAATTCTCCGATAACTTCCTGGACGCCACGTTCAACGCGAAATGGATTCAGTCCACGAATTTTCTCTCTTCACAGGTCTTCGATCTTAACTCCCTTTACATTTGAATTTCAATAAAGTGTCACGTTCAATCTAGTTCTAGCATTTCGTGAGAGCTAAGTGTTGGTTTTTGTGGCACAAGATTTTGGATTGGATACTATGGACGAGGTCAGGGGTGAAAAGTGAGCAGGAAGTCACTGGACCCGGAATCGCCTCCGGTAAGTTCGAGGTCGTCTAGTTTGAGAAAGAACGGCGACGAGCACGTTTTGCCCATTGAGTTTAGGAATGAGGGCTTTTTTCCCCGTTAAAAAAAGAACCACGTCGTTTTGGAGTGCGGATTGTTTTTTTTTTTTTACGGTCCGTAAAATACTTTGAATGGAATTTTGATATTCGTCGTTGCTGTTTTTCTAATTAGTTTGATTGTGTACTTGAGAGCTGAATATTTTTCTCCAGCAATTTAATTAAATAAATGATTTTCATTGTATTATTTTTTTTAATTTATAATTTTGCTTTGCTATTTAAAGTAAATTAAAAATTAAAAAAA